GGTCGGAATGGAAATATCATCCTTCAAGTCTTTGTTTATCCTACATAAAGCCTAAATCAAGAATTGAGTTGTGATCAATGTAATATGTAATTCGACCAAAGCACAAATACTAACACAGTGCTAAAGACTGCACAGCCAAATACTACTTTTTTAAATATATATTCTGACTCCATCCTTCCTCACACCAAATATGCACTTACCCACCACTTAAACTAGAAAAAAAAAAAGCTTCAGAAAATCTGAGAGGCTAAAATTTGGATATAGACTTCACACAAAGCCTACCAACATGCAAAACTTCACACAGAGAAACCAAGTCCCAAGGACTTCCCTGAAGCTAATAACAGTGTAAAAATATAAATACAAAAATAAGCTTTTGCGGAATCAGGATCATAATTTGCCATTTTGATCAAAACAATAAGGATTCTTGTAAAAGTGCTCTGCATTTCATCTTTTATGCTTAAGGTTACTTGTTATGATTAAAGATTCTAAGATCGTTTGAAGCCAATTGCCAGTAACAAAATATTTATTGCCAATATAGATCAGACACCATATTTTTGATTATGTTTCACACCTCATTTGCAATAAAAGTTATGAGGTTTTAGTCACCATTTGAAGAATAAATCCATGCTTTTTGTGGCAAAAAGCCCACTTTTCCAATGATTTATAGTCATGTCGCAGGGTAAAGTGGACCATGCTCCTGAAAGATTCTGAAGTTTTCCAATTTCCAAAGGGAGCCGCATGCATTTTAAACACGCACTTAATTCTGATTATATTATGATCTTTTCCCTAAATAAGTACTGTACCACCACAGGAGCTCTGTATCATTCTGTCAAACAATTCTAAAATAAACTGAGAAATATTTTTTTAGCCAAAAAGAATAAGAGCAATGGATGTTGCTTCAGCAGATTGGATGTTACAGTATTAACCAGGTATTATTTCTAAATTGATAATCCCACATTTTATATTTGTGAGAACTGCACACCAGGTCACTTTATGCCTACACGTATCACATTTCTGAACATAAAGACAAGACCAGATTTAAAATAAATTAAAAGTCACATTCTAGATCTTGGGTAAAAATCCTAGGTGACAAGTAAGAGTCCTTTACAAGTCTGAATTTTAATATACTAACACATGTAAAAATCTTTTTTTTTAAAATAAACAAAACCAAAACAAACTGACTTCTATTTGTTATAATAGATTCTGCAGTAAAACCAGAGGGTAATTCATCCAGCCACATATGATCCTGAAAACTGAAAATCTGCAATGAGTCAATAAAGAGGTCAGGTAGTTATTTTGATAAAGTAACTTGTCCAGCTGCACACGTGCGAGAACAGCCCATTATTTCACTGACATAATTTCTCCCAACCGTACTTGGGCAGGATGTCTAGTTTGAAGCCTAGATAAAATAGGAAGGTTGAGTATAAACCTGACCAGCTGACAGCAAGGATAAAAAGCACAAGACATACAGAACAACCAAACTATTGAAAACAATGCCTCGAGAGGGAACAGCATTCAGTGCTTGTGCCACAGAAGATTCCTGGTGAAAACAAAGCTCTGGAAAAATCAGGCTATCCAAAGAAATCAACTGCAGTTAAACATCTTACAAACTTGGGCAGTAAGCGGCTTCTCAAGCATGCCAGTAGATTATCACAGAATCACAGAAGTGGGCTTTCACGTGAATCACAGAATCACTTTGGTTGGAAGAGACCTCTGGGATCACTGAGTCCAACCTTTGCCCTAACACCAGGTCAACTAGACCATGGCACTAAGTGTCACATCCAGTCTTTTCTTAAAGACCTCCAGGGAATGAACACTCTGTCAGCAATCAGCAGAACTGCAAATTTATTTCACCTAGGTTTAGATATAAATTGAAGCTAGGCACCTATGTTCCCTCTACAGCAGAAACATCTACATTTCCTCGCTGGTGGAAACTCCGGACAGTGATTCAGTTTGTGAAGGAAAACTATCTGGAGTTTCCAACTCCCCCCACACCCCAGCTCCCTCTCCAGCATGTACTGTAGGGCAAACCCGGCCCCTGACTTCCAGGTGTCTAAAAGTTGGTAGGATTAACCTAGATGTGCACTACACATCAATTAAGCAACTTGCAAAGTACCAAAGGATTCGCTGAATCTATCGTCTCAAGTTTCCCCAAAGCAACTTTTTGTCCCCACCTGAGAAACCCAGCAATGTTTTCCAAGCAGAATGTGAAAAAATTAAGCATAGTATCTGAATTTCTAGACTTCAGATAGAATAACTGAGACTACTCACTGCTGTCCCAGCAAAATGTTAGAAATCTGGACATACCCAGTACATGTGCACAGATAAACCCAAGCATGCGGCCAACACCCCATGCTTCCAAAGTACTCCTTCAATTTGCGCAGGTGATCTGCTCTTCACAGCAAACTGAACATACATTGTTTTTTCAGCACATAGACAAGTCACCTGAACAGCACACAGCATTTCTTAAATATGGATTTGCTGCTTATATGCTACAAAACATATGTATTAACAGCTGAAAAATCCCAGACAAAAGTGTTGTAAATCTTTGCTTGCTGCTTGGTGAGAGTGGTGAGCAGGCAGGTATCAACAGCCTCTACAGTCAACAGCTAACTGCCCGCAGCCTGCTCCAAGGACACTTATTGTAAGACAGGAATTATGAAATCAGCTCTGTCAGCAAGCAGACACAGGAATAAAAGATGGGACGACCAAAGTCTTTCCAGGAAATATAAGAGCTCCAGCAGGTGAATTCTACATGGCCTCACGCTCCAAACATGCATTAATATGAAACAGGCCATTAGAAACTTCACCCAGGAAACTGAAGTTTGCCTACCAACCTCTTCAGAGGAATCACTGGAAGTTTCAGGAACTAAACTGAGAGAGAAATTCACAAGGCAAAAGCGCCTAACAACTGGACCCACAAAGGTATCTCTAGAGATGATTTTCTTAGCTGCAAAAGCAAACTGGCCAGAAATTAAAATTTTAGAACTGCTTAGTAGGAATTACGCATCTTGTAGAGACCCATTACCACTGGGCAAAACTCCCAAGAACTGACTCCAGGAACTAGGAATTAGGGTATTGCTAAAGATAATGGCTACATTCCTATACAACAAGGCAATGCCTAATTCTATTAATAGTTTTGTAGCTGCAAAACTTAAAAAAAGAAAAAATATTTGGTAAGCTCACAGAGAGGGAGTAAGCTTTAGCAACAAAGCTTATACTTCTCCTACAAGCTCTGTACAGATCTGGCTACAGAAGAGAGAGCTATTTAACTCCAAGAAACATTAACTAGAGAAACAACACTAAAGGCACCTGAACTGAAAAGGCACTGTAACTGCAAAGAATAGCAACAAAAAAATTAAATAAATACATAGAGCAAACACTTATAAAAAGGATTTATTTAGGAATCACAATAAAGACTTAAAATTACAAAGGAATTGAAGCAGCAACAGATGTAATACAGAATAAATTTTTCCAGATATATCCCATGCAAGCCATTAACAAAAATCAAAGTAACAAAGCTGCTTTTGAAATACAAACACCACTGAAAGTGAACTCCCTAGATGGCTTATTCCCATCTCTGCACCAATTTTTTGCGTACTTGCAGTCTCATATTCCTTCTCAGTCCTCTCATCTTTAAGTTATGCAACTCCAATCTTTCCTTGCCGCTCATATTTTACAGGTCTTCAGCACCCTGTTTTTCTCTAGTCTCTGTTCCCTCTTGAACTGCGTTAGCATCAGCAACGCTGAACTGGAATCTGCTTTGCTTCTCTTTCAGACTACATTGTTACCCACACACTGAAGATGCACACAATGTTTCATTTGCTTTATTTTATAAATGTATGAGTTTAGAGGCATATCACTGAAAAACAAGGAGCAGACCTCATGTTTCCAGGACACAAAACTGAACTGTGCAGTGATTACAAGAGTACAGTGTTATTTACATAGTGGTAACATATGATCCAGGAGCTCCAGAGATCATCAAGACCTTTGCTCTGCCAAGCCTACAGCATAACAATAACTGAAAGATGTCCATGATCATAACAGTTACAATTTTTAGATTAATTAAATCATGTATGTCCTGGTCTACCTTTGCTCTTCTTTTAAGCCATTCTTAGTACCTGAAACCAATTCATAAACCCATAATTCCTATTTTAGAGCTCTACAGAACTGTAATACCTGTAAAAGCCTTGGAGGGCTCAAGAAGAAATTTGACAGATTTGAAGTTCTTTTAGAAGAGCTATTTACACGCAGTTCTAGTGGACAGAGCGTGTCCTAGAGCATGCTACAAGATCAAACAGATATTCAGGGACATTTCATGAATCATCTACTCCAATTAACCTTGAGTTCACCTAGTCATTAAATTTGGTAACACAGCCACCATGACAC